ATGCAGGGGTCTGGGGTTCAATCCCTGGTCAGGGAATTAGATCCCACATGCCTCAACTAAGTTTGCATGCTTCAGTTAAAGGTCCCACATGTCACAACTAAGAACCGGCACAGACAAATAAAAATATAATTTTAAAAAAAAAGGAAGTACACCAGTTTAGAGTCACTCTAAAGGGTAAAGCTGGACTGAGTGGCTGGAAAATCCAGAGTCAGACCTTGATTATGAGAAGTAGAAAGGCCTCTTCAAGAAAGAATTAGTATCCTCTCACAAAAGGTGTCCCAGACTACCAAAGATACATAGACATTTCTTAGAAAAATAGCCCATACAAATCAGGGAATGCAGAGAAGTCAGAGAGAAAAATAATCCAAAGTATCAAAGTTTGGAGATGAAGGTGAGAAGGTAAAAGGAGTAAGAAGGGAATTTGTCCCACCCAAGCCTGAAAACCTATAATGCTCTCCTCTATCTTCTTTTTCTCTTCTACTAAATGTTCAATATTATTCCTCTTGTCTAGGATTTCCTTCTCCAACATATCTTTTTCCTATTATCTACTCTGACAATGGAATTCTACACTTTGATTTTTCCATACCCTTCTTTCTTCACAAACCTGGTAGACAGTCTTAAGGGCTGCAGTCTCAGGCAGAGGGAAAACCCTAAATTATTAATATTTGCCTCTTTCTACACAGTTAACAGTTAACAGTGAGCAGTTAACAGAAGACAAATGATAGAGATTTATCTCCAAGATATGCTAGGATACAACTGAATCAAATGGTTCAGAGGAAACACATAAATGCACACAAGCAGGGTAGGGGGAGTCTCACATTCAAAAAATATAATGCAACTGAAACAAAAATGCCTGTTCTCTAAAAATTCCAACTGCTACCCTATACAATTTGGTATGCAACACTGGATTAAAGTACCACATTTTACAGAACCAGTTCCCTCCAGTCAAGACCAAAATTTAATGCTTCTAAAGAACAAAACAAGGCTGAAAAGCTTGCTTGGTTTCTTATTCACAAAAATACTAATGATCCAGTATACAATGGACAAAATCCACATTTGTTCTTGCTATCAATGGCTTAAGGTCTAAATGCTTAGTCTTTTCAGGAGGTGCAGTACCTTAATGAAGACTGAGAGAGGAAGAATAACTAATAGAATAAGGATACCTAGAACAGAATTATAGGCCCTGTGATTACTTCCTCATTTGCACAAACCTGGGACCAAAAAAAAAAAAAGATCGTGTGTTCAATACATGCTATACTTGGAGTTATATGTATTTCATTCATACATTCATCCATTCAATAACAGCTAAATTTTCCAGATACTGTTCTGCTTATTGAGAAAACCTCAGGGAAGAAAAAGTTCCTTCCATCAGAGAGCATATAATATGTTGAAGAGAAAAGACCACAAACAAATCAACAAAGAAATAAACAAGATTAGTTGATAACACAGGTAAAGAGTTTGGGTTTACTTTTTAGTGTAATAAGTCACTGGAGCAGGAAAGTAACTGACTGCTGTCTGCAAATGGACTGTAGGAGAACAAGGTCAGGGGCAAGGAGACCAGTTAGGAAGCCACTACCCAGGAAGAACTGGAGTGGTGGCAATAAAAACAAACACGGACTTCACTGGTGGCCCAGTGGATGACAGTCTGCCTGCCAACACAGAGGACACGTGTTAGACTTCTGGTCCGGGAGGATTCCACATGCCATGGAGCAGCTGGGTCTCAGCTACAACTACTGAGCCCGAACTCTGGATTCTGTGTGCGGCAACTACTGAAGCCCATGTACCTCGAGCCCATGCTCCACAAGGGAAGCCACCGTAATAAGAAGGCTGAGCACCACAACAAAGACAAGCCCCCGCTCACCACAACTAGAGCAAAGCCCAAGCAAAGCAATGAAGATCCAGTGCAGCCAAAAATAAATTAATAAAAATAAACAGGGTTGGCTTCATTTTTAAAAAAATAAATAAAAATAAAATAAATATATCTTGGAGGCAAAATCAACAGGGTTTGCTGAGGGACTGATTGTTCTGGGTGGTGGAGGAGCAGTAAGGCAAAGTGATGAATTAAGGATGACCACAATTCAATTAAAAAAATAAATTTTAAAAAAATTTAAAAAAACAAAACAGGATGACCACCAGGGTGGTCCAGTGGTTAAGAATCTGCCTTCCAATTCAGGAGATGCAGGTTCAATCCCTGGTCAGGGAACAAAGATTCCACATGTTTCAGGGCAACTAAATCAGCATGCCACCACTAGAGAGCTGCAACTAGAGAAGCCTTTGAGCCACAATGACGACTCAGGGCAGCCAAAACTTAAGAAAGAAAAGAAAGAATGACCACCAAATTTTTCACTTAAGTAGATGGAAGAGGAGACAGACAAGTGCTCTTATGAAATCCAGACTGCTGGAGAAGGAATAGATTGAAGAATGAAAATCAAGAGCTCCACTTTGAACATGTCAAATTTAATATAGACAAATGGAGTGTAGATACATAGGCAGGTGGAAGAAATTGAAGGTCAGGGCTGGAGATAAAAATCTGAAGAGTCCACAGCACAGTGGTAGTATTTAAACCACCAGACAGGATGAGATCACCCAGAGAGAATACAGGTGGAAAAAAGGAAAGAGATGGGCTTGGATGCCCTGAGGCATTAGGATATTCAGAATTCAGTAAGAGAAGAAAAAGTCAACAGAAGAGATAGAGAAAGAAAACCATAAAAGTGTAGTACCCTGGAAGGTTCTTTATATAATGATCCTCTAACGAACCACAACCCTCCCAACTCCTGGCCACAGAGACTCTCAAATTCTATAAACAAAAAAACAGGCCCAAGAAAACAGGTGGCATCCCAAAGTCCTAGCTATTTGGAACCCAGAGCCAGTCTTCCCTGGTGTCTCAGTGGTAAAGAATCTGCCTGTCAATGTCTGCCAGTGCAGGAGACGTTGGTTCAATCCCTGGGTTGGGAAGATACCCTGGAGAAAGAAATGGCAACCTACTCTAGTATTTTTACCCAGAAAATCCCAGGGAGAGAGGAGCCTGGCAGGCTACAGTCCAAGGGGTCACAGAGAGTCAACTTAGCAACTAAACAATAATCAGCCCTAAGAACCAAGATGTGACTTTCGACCCAGCCTTTTCTCAGTGACTAGCAGTGCTCTTACCGTTCGGTTCACCAGTGAAACAGAGAAGGTCTTAATTTAGGAAGAACAACAATTAGACTACAAGGAAGTACATAATTTAGATTACAAGGTTAATTTTAATTTTTTCTATATATTCTGTTTACAGTCACAAAGCAAGTTGGATCAAAAACCTTTCTGGATGAGTCTCTAAGAAAAGTAGGAAATACAGACAAGAAGTGCAAAATGGAAATAAATCAAAACCCAAATCAATTTTCCCCACCTCTAAAAAACTCTCTGAAGGCAGAAGACCCTCAGTAGGATGGGAATCAGAGATTGTACAACAAAGTTTTCGGTTTCAGCCTTTTTGCTTTGGTGAATACAATTTCAGTTCTAAAGTTTAAGATTTTAACTTTGTTCCACATTTGCCTTCTGAAACTAAGTTAAGATCTTTATCCTGACCACCCTCTCCTATTCTGCATTATCATGACTTAAGCAGTTCTGCTTTTACCATAAAAATCTTAACAGTGTAACCTAAAAATCCCCAAATGATTAATGAACTGCTGAGAATTCTGACTCGTTGGCGATGATTTTATTAGGACTCATATTTTCAAACATCCATTCAGTGCTCCAAAATAAGTACTCATCTAATTTAATTATGATGACTTCACCAGACAGTAACACTGCCCACAATGATGTTTACAAAACCACTTGTCACTCCCTTCGTGTATGTAGCAATGCAGAAAAAGGAGTCTGTTTCCATATTCTTCTGTTTATACTCTGTAACAAGTGACCGAGTTTAAGTGGCACTTAAGATTTTAAACAGCAAAGCACTTCAAGTTTAATGCGTCCCACCACCTTGCATCCGAAGAGAATAGTAAATTCGCTCGATTTTATTTCAGCAGCAATTCCCATTCAATACCTGAGACAGGTATTCCAAGAAAGCCTTCGCAAAAAAAAAAAGAGAGAGAGAGAGAGACTACACGATCTTGGCTACTATTAAGATAACAGGCTCCAATATTAAGCAACTTCAGTGGAGGTTACTGCAACATCAAAGCACTTCGAAAATAAGCGTGCCCCCCAAAAGTACACCAGCAACCAGGTATCAGGAACAGTTAACAAGGTAAGATGCTTCAGCAGAGTTACTCCTGATAGCTACCCACTGATCCAGCACTTGCTGTTCGGTCACGCACATCATCCTGTGCTAGCTTCACAACAACCCAGGTGAAGTAGGTGTAATTATTCCCACAAACAAATCCAGATACTCAGACCCAAGGCCCCAGGACTGGTCACCAGCGGCTCTGGGATCTGAAAACACGACTCTATCCCAACAGTCCAGGATCCCCGCCCCTAAAATACACTGCGCAAAAAGGCATCTGAGAGTCGGCAGCTCGCGGGTGTCCGCAGAGACGCAGCGGCAGAGGACGCCGCCTTTCCGCAGACGCCCCTCAGCAAAGCGACTCAAATCGCCGGCAGCCCGGGGCGCCCGGCCCCGTCCCTGCCGCCCGGAGGCCGGGGAGCGCCGCTCACCTTGGAAAGCCCGGGAGGCCGCAGGCGAGCGAGGCGCCCCCACGGGCCGGCGGGCGGGTGTCCTCGGCGCCAGCAGGAAGCGTGGCGCGGGCATCCCATTCGGCGGCGCCACAGGCTGTGGCGGGCAAGAGCGCGCCTGCCGCCCGCGCGGGAGCACCTCAGAGGCCCGCCGCGACCGCGCCGCGCCTCAGCCGTGCCGCATCCGGGTCCCGCGCCGCTGCACTCACCTGCTCAGCACTCGCCCCGCCCCGCGCGCCGCTCCGGCCAATCCCCGATCTGCGGCCCGGACCCGGCCGCGCCGGTCCCAGCTGGGAGGGGAGTTAGGCGGAACCCGCGCCTCCTTCTGCTCGGCTGCCCGCCCTGCGGCGGTGGTGCTGTGTGGCAGTTCTTCTGTTTGCAGCTCCGGGAGGATTCGGGATCGGGAATTCCCAGCAAGCTACTTTCTGGAGAGACCCACACCTCCCTCGACCCTCGCAGCCGCCTCCAAGTGATTCCTCTGTTCCTACGTTTACTTGCCGGCTTTCTCTTCTCAATCGCTGTCCCCAGTTCTGCGACTTTGAACCGATTGCTAGGTTCCTGGGTACGCACTTTGCTTTTCCTTCTCCGGCTCTGTCATTCCTGTTCTACGGGTGGGGCTGTTAGGTCGGCCTCCCAGCCGCTGGCCCTTCAATCCCTGAATTGACCATCAAAGCCAAAAAGTTCAGCCTTTCAAGCCCAAGATTGTTTTTCTGTGTGCTTATTTTTTGCGATAACAACCAGCGTTTATCTGCAGAGCCTTACAGTTTACCCAGCTCTGTTCGCATACCTTATCTCCTGTTATCTTTTGACCTCAACTGGGAAATTTCATGGTTCTCTTTCTTAGTGGCTCAGTTGAATTTCTCTTAATGAAAACCAAAATTTTAGCTTACTGTTAAGGTACTCTGTTGTAAAGTTGTGTAATAGCTCAGGTAAACAGTCCAGTAGTTTGGGATGAAATCTCAAGTAAACGTAATATAAAGCAAAGGTGACATACAAGCCAGTGGTAAAAGAATACTTTATTTGATCAGTGATCCTGATTTAATTTCTTCATAAGTAGTCAAATCTAGAGCCTTGCCATATTCAAAAATTAGGTTCCAGAAGAGATAGACATAAAAATATACAGAACAGACAAAAGAAATTTTTTAAAGAACAGTAATATAACTATAGTAAGGGGAAACGTTAAGAGGGAAGCCCAGACTCATTCCCCCCCCAAAAAAATACATAAATACTTTACAAGTTTTGCATGACATCACACTAAGACAAGTTTTTTATAAAAGAAATAAATAGATGGGAGTAGAACTGCACCAAACAGGGCAAACACACTATATCTCTAACATAGGTGAGTCACTATAAGTGGATAGGCTACCCATTCCAGTGTTTTTGGGCTTCTCTTGTGGCTCAACTGGTAAAGAATCCGCCTGCAATGCTGGAGACCTGGTTCGATCCCTTGTTTGGGAAGATCACTGGAGAAGGGAAAGGCTGAGTGACTTTGAATAAAAGAAAATTTGGCTTTTTAAAAGTCCACTTGAAGTGAAGTGAAAGTTTCTCAGTCGTGTCTGACTCTTTGCAACCCCATGGACTATACAGCCCATGAAATTCTCTAGGCCAGAATACTGGACTGGGTAGCCTTTCCCGTCTCCCCCGGGGATCTTCCCAACCCAGGGATCGAACCAGGTCTCCTGCATCTCAGGCAGATTCTTTACCAACTGAGCTATCAGGGAACTGTTTTTATAATACAGGCAACAAGTATAAGCAGGCAAGTAATGGATGAGAAGGTCCAAATGATTCATTAAAAAGATGCTTATTTCACTAATATTCATGGTAAAGCAAATTAAAACAGTAATCCATTTTTCACTCATTGGATTGGCCAACGTTAACAAGACCAATCAATAATACTTGGAGAAACAAGCTCTGATGGGAGTGTAAATTGCCACAAACTTTCTAGGAGTAATCTATTGAAATTTAAATGCATAATACTTATTCAAGGACCAAGAAATACATTAACTCCAGCCTATTGAAAAATTAAGGAAAATACTAGTTGCAAGGATGGATCCAAGGATGCTGTGGCAGGTTGAATGTTGACCCTCCAAAAGATGTGTCCACAGGAACCTGGAAACATAGCCTCTCTGGAGAAAGGATCTTTGCAGATGTAATTAAGGAGTGAAGGATCTTGAAATGAGATCATCCAAATTTGGAGTGGGTCCTAAATTCAGTGACAGTCATCCTTTCAAGAGAAAGAGAAAGATTTGAGATAGAGGATAAAGGGGATGTAAAGAATGAGGTAGAATTGGAGTAATGCACATAGAAGCTAAAGAATGCCAAGGATTGCAGGCACCTTCCAGAAGCTAGGAGAAGACCACAGAACAGATCATCAGAGCTAACACCTTGATTTCAGACATTGGAACTCCAAAAACTGGAGAGAATAAGTCTCTGTTGTTTTAAGCGACCCAGTTTGTGGTAATTGTTAAAGTTGCCAAAGGAAATTAATACAGATGCTTATTGTGTTACTTGAAGTGCAAAAGAAATACAAACTAAGAACAATGTGATTGTCCACAGGTAGTGGAATACATGAACCAATTGTACTGTCTCCCTTCTATGCAATATTATCAGCATTGAAAATAAGTTACACCTATCTATATTGACCCAGAGGGATACCCATGATATATTGCTAAAGTGGAAAATGCAAACTGAAGAGTGATAAAGAATGCTATGATCCTATTAGTATATTGCTAACCATTTATAGATATATTCATGTGGCCATCGTAAAAGGGGTGGAAAACTTTAGACTAAGCTGATCACATAGGATAGTTCAGAGGACTGAAGAAGAGGGGTTAGGTGGGAGGGAGTTATCTTTTCCTTTAAAGATATTTTATATCTTACTGTTAAAACCATTGTATGTTTTATCTTATTCCTTTAATAAGTAGAGCTTTAAAGGAAAAAAGCAACTTGTGTCTAGTTTTTAAACCATGATTAAAGTTGTGAACCTAAAGAAAAGGTTCTCTCCAGTTTTTAGAAGATTCAAATGTTCTACAAGACCCCCACTACTGAGTATTGAGTTATATGTTCAGTTTATGATCTTTTGGTGTTTTGGGAAGTATTTCACCCATATTTTCCTTCTTCTTGCTTATGAGTACTTCCTTACTTCTGAGTATTTCTTAGGCTCACAAAAATTCATTTTTCTTTTTAAAATTTGAGTGCTTTTCATTTTATAATACAGCGGAACTTTATACATTTTATAATGTACAACAAAACACACAGTAGAAGTCTCGGCTATGAATCTCTCTTCACATACAACCAAAGTTGTCAGTTTCTTGAGCATCTTTCTGAAAGTATTATATGAATATATAACCAAGTACAGGTATACTTCACCATTTTTTCACACCTATGGAAGTGTTTGATTCATGCTTGTTTTTTTTTTCACATAATATCTAGTAGGTTGTTTCATATCAGTGCTTATAGAGTTTATGTATTCTTTTACAATTTTACTGCTATATAGAATACAAAAAAAATTGCCCACATCATAAAATTTTCACAAACAGAACACACCTGTATAACAACTTCTCAAATCAATAGAGAGCATGACAAAATATCTCAGAACACACTGTGATCCCTTTCAGTCACTGCCTTTCTCCCGGGGTAACTACAGTCCCAGCTTCTATCACTGCTGCTGCTGCTATCACTAGAGATTCCTATTTCCTGTTTTTGAACTTTAATTAAATAGATTCATACAGTGTGTGCTTCTTTTGAGTTTGGCTTCTTTTACTCTACATTTCCTCTACATTGTTTTGATATTCATACACTATTGCATGTAACTATTTTGCTGATTTTCATTGTATCTGCATTCTATTTTCTTGTTATATAATGTTCCATTGTAAGGATATACACTATATTTAAATGGTCCCTTATTGATGGATATTTTTAGACTATTTCCAGTCTTTTGATGTACAAATAATGCTGTAATGAACAGCCTTGAATCTATATCATTTTGTGCATATGCAAGTGTAACTATAGAATAAATCCCTAGAAGTAGAATTATTGGGTCAATAGGTATCAGTATTTGTAATTTTGAAAGATATTGCCAAATTGCCCTGTCTGTGAAATATACCCTTTACATTCCTACCAGCAGAATATCTGAGAATTAATTTTCTTAGAATTTTAGAGCTTGGAGCTTGGAGAACTCAGAAACTATATTGTGTACCGTACTCATTTTACACAGAGAGAAATCTAAGCCCTTTGAGGTGAAAAGACTTACACAGAGCCCTAAAATAAGTTACTTATCCCCAAATTCTGAAGGAGGAGACCTGGATGCTGATCTCGCATATCAGAGAGAGCCGACAAAGCCACAAACATCCTGTCCTGCCCACAGCGCCTGGCATGCTGCCCCTCTCTCCCCTCCTCTTCCCCAACTGCCTTCAAAGACCACTTCAAAAAGACCTAGCCTCCCCCCACAAATACACACTCCCCAGGGCCGCCAGCCATGGGAGGAAGGGGACAGAAAGTGAAAGGGAGTGGAGGACAGAGAGGACTCGGGAACCAGACCCCACATGCTTTCAGAAAGCAAAGTAAGATCTATATAAGACTTTGAATGGAAATTCAATAAAACAGTTACACCCGTGAGCACACACATACACATACACAGGTCCTAACTGAATTATGTGATAGTATACAACTGCAAAAATAATGAAGCACTTCTATATGAACTGATCAAGAACAATCTCTAAAATACTACTTTATGAAGTAGGCAAGATGCAGAACAGTAAAGTCTGCAACTATTTGTATATGCATAGATTATTATCAGAAAGACACAAGAAACTAACAGTGGTTGCCTTGGAAAAGGAGAACTAGAGATTGGGAAACAAAGAGTGGAAGGGAGAATTAGTTTTTATGGTTATTGTCTTTTATGCTCTTTGAAATTTTTATCATGCTCACATATAACCTATTATATAGTTAGAAATATATATATATATATATATATATAAATCATATAGAAGAGATATAATTTAGCCAGAGATATGACTATCACTGAGGAAGGAGAGACAAAAAACAAGAAAGGAAGGGGTGGACCCTAGTAAGGGAGCATGTGAGGCAATGAGGGCACTAGAAGGACAGGAAGTAGACTCAGGGACCAGCCTCAAATCAAGAAGTCTGATCACACTGTATTTTAAGTGCAATTTGTCTTCAACTCTATTAACTTGCTTTCCTTGTGGCTCAGCTGGTAAAGAATCTGCCTGCATGCAGGAGACCTGGGTTCAATCCCTGGGTTGGGAAGATCCCCTGGAGAAGGGAAAGGCTACCCACTCCAGTATTGTGGCCTGGAGAATTCCATGGACTGTGTAGTCCGTGGTCTCGCAAAGAGTAGGACATGACTGAGCGACTTTCATCATCTATTAACTTGCAAGTCTAGAATGGTGCCGTTCAGTAAAGAAACATAAGTTGAATGTTGAAAAAAAATAAATCAAGCACTTCTAAAACCAATTAGCTCTGGTATGCAGAGTTAACTAGATCAAAGATTGTAGCTCTGATTCCCAAGAGGTTTGGGTGTGACTCTGCCTTGTGGAATGTGAGTTATTTATCAACAAAGGCTCTACCCTGTTTTTTGTTGTGGACAAGCCACTTGAAACTGCAGTTTAACCTGTTTTTATAAATAAGGATGTAATGTAATTAACATTTTAAATAATCTGCTAACTTAACAACTGGAATCCAGAATTTTCAGGCCAATTAAGGAGGAGTCAGAAGCAGAAATGCCTCAAACAGCCTAGGGGCCTGCTTACATTTTCACCCTGATAAATCCATTACTGAAATTTTATTGGAGAGCCTATATTCAGATCCTTTGACAGCACTCAGGGCCTAGTATCTGCACAACAAAGCCCAAATTTCAAAGGGAATTTCTTTAGCTAAAAAGATGAGCTTCATCAGAGACTTTTTTTCAAGTAGACTGCAAACCAAAGAGTTGACTTTACTTACTGCTTCTTAATCAAGTCTTTATTTCAAAATGTAAGTAGAGGAGATGGTTTGACTTTTTGCAGCAACTTTTGATACTTCAGTCAAGCCCAGCTCACAGGTCTAGAGTAGTCTGGAAATACTTATGCAAGTGAATGGGGAAGCTAGCAGGTACAGGATGGGTCTGGAAAACAGAAGCCTGGATTGCTCAGTCTGAAAGGGTGGGGACCAAAGCAAAATGTGAAATGGCTCCTCCAGTCCTCAATCCCCCAAATTGGTCAAGACGTGGATAAATGTACAAGGATCAAGACTTACATATTCAGAGGGTTCAGGGATGTTACATCTGGATGGAACTTCCAGAATGAAATCAGCAAGTATTTGTCATGTCAAATTCCAATAATACCCTTCTTTGGAGGGGAAAAAAAATAAATAAAATCTCGGGTTCTTGAGAATATTCACTTGAGAATATTCACCAGCAATAGCCCCAGGCACTGGATAAATGATGGAGATATGGGGGTGGACAAAACAATACGATTCCTACAGCGCCTGCAGCAGAGAAAGAAAGTCTTTAATGAAATCATCACATGATTAACTGCACATTACAGCAAAATGCCATAAGGTAGGGACACCTGACACTTTAAAAGTAATACCAGAGGAATTGACTGAGAAGAGAAAGCAAAACTTTCACTAAGGAAAGGCAAACTTGCTTCAGTCTGAAGGAAAATTAGACTAAGCAGAGTGGGAGTCAAAAGTGTCATAATCGGGGACTTCCCTGGTGGTCGGTCCAGTGGCTAAGACTTCATGTTTCCAATGTCAGGGGCTGGGCTCAATTCCTGGTCAGGGAACTAGATCCCAGATGCCGCAACTGAAGATCCTAAATGCCACAACTAAGACCTGGCAAAGTCAAAGGGTCACAATTGGGGGGGGGGGGGGGGGGGGGGGGGGCGGGAAACAAAACAGCCAAGGCAAGGGTCCTATGGCAGGAGGGAGCATGGCTATTTAAAAAATGAAAAAGATGGGCTGGAGTGCTGGAAGCCTAATATTGTTGTTGAATTGGTCGACTAGACCAGCTCCAGGGTTCTAGCCCCAGCAGAGACCTCTTGTCTCAGGGAGGTTCTTTTTCCAATCAGATTCACACATCCAATGAGGAAACCTATGGTGAGACTAGACCAGCAGGATCTTTACTCAATGGCCAGAGAGTGGAGAAGCAGGATTCTAACTGCCAAATCAACTTCTCAACCCAATTCTGATGGAGACACCGTACATACTGGAAAGTCAAAGTAAAAGGGATTTGGGAAGAGTAGGAGGAATATTCATGAGTTATTGGAGAACAGGGGTGTGGTTGGGACCTGGCATTGATGGAACCCTCGCTTTCAGTCCTCCTAGAGGCTTTTCCGGTTGTTGTCATGGCGATTGTCAACTGTCAAGGCCTGATGGCTATTTCACTGAGCATGCTAATGCATTCCAGTGAGCACATAAAGAGGCTCAAGATGTATTGCAAGTCAAATCTTCCACCATATTAAGCTTAAACAGTTATTTTTTTCCCTCTGCAGCTCTTAGAATTTTATTAGAGCTTGGAGCCTGGAGACTTACATTGTATACCCTACTCATCTTACACAGGGAGAAATCTGAGCCCTTAAAGGTGAAAAGCCTTACACGAAGCCCTAAAACAAGTTACTTATCATCCCCAAATTCTGAAGGAAGAGGCCTGGATGCTGGTCTCCAAGATCCATAGCACTTATCCATTCTCAACATAGGTTTCCTTGTTGGATGTGTGAATCTGGGGTCGCAAAGAGTTGGACACGACTGAGCGACTGAACTGAACTGAACTGAACTAGTCCTCCAATTTGGTAACAATATCATGCTTCCTGCACTTCTGCAGATCTTTTTGATTTTTCAAATAGCCATGCTCCCTCCTACCACAAGACCCTTGCCTTGGCTGTTTTGTTTTTTTTTCCCCTTGAAGCTCAGTAAGAGTAATTGGTTTCCACTTCAGAGCAGGGCACGTGTATGATTCTGGGGCAACAGCCTTGGTAACAGTATGAGACCCTTGGTAGAGATTACCACCACTTGCTAATATTTCCAATTCTCTTCTCCTGCAGAGCCCTATACTTCCTCGCTCCCTTGGAGTTAGATGGAATCTTTACAGTTGAATGCAGACATAAGGCTTGCTTTGGCCAATGAAATATGAGCAGAAGTGGCATCTGCTACATCTCAGTGGAAGCGTTTAAGACACAGAGTGTGTTTTTCTCCAGATCCTCTCCTTTCCACATGCTGATGTGAAGGTACCAGAAGAAAGGATCAGTGCTGTGGATCTTGGAGCTAACACTTGAAGAATGGCTACCCTGCAAAGCTGACAGGAGCAGATTGGGTATGAACCTTCACCATGTTCCACCGTTGTGATTTAGAAGTTGTTTGTAATTGCAGTAAACCTAGCAAACCTATACCTTACTGATACAATCCCACATTTGAAAAACTCCTCAGAGGAAATACATAACCCAAAGGAAAAACACTAAGTTAATTCAGAATTTACACAGACTTTCTTTCATCTACAACTATATCTACATCTCATCTACATTCACAGACCTTTATTCAGTTATAAATTTCCATATCTAGCTTTTCAGAACTGCATCTGACTTGCAGCTTCTGACTTTCAGTCTTAAACACTGAAGAAGAGTGTCTTTTTTTTTTCATTTTATAAAATCGTATAGAAAACATTTATCAAGTACCACTCTACTATTAGCACCAAACTAAGTATCTGAATTCATTCATTTAATGTTCCTAACAGACAAAATGAAGGCCTATTACTATATACATTTTCTAGATGAGAACACTAAGGCTCAAGTGTACTTGTATTTCCTACCAGATTGTAAATTCCTTGGAGACAGGATATGGTATTGCTGTTCAGTCGCTAAGTCATGTCTGACTCTTTGTGATCCTGTGGACTGCAGCATACCAGGATTCCCTGTCTTTCACTATCTCCTGGAGTTTACTCAAACTCACGTCCCCTGAGTCAGTGATACCATCCAACCATCTCATCCTCTGTTGCCCCCTTCTCCTCCTGCCCTTAATCTTTACCAGCATCAGTCTTCCAATGAGTCAGCTCTTCACATCAGGTGGCCAAAGTATTGGAGCTTCAGCTTCAGCATAGGTGTTTTGTTTGTTTAAGAGTTATTTATTTCTGGTTGCACTGGATCTTTGTTGATGCATACAGGCTTTCTTTAGTTGCAATGAATGGGAGCTACCCTTTGTTGCTGTGTGCAGGCTTCTTGCAGTGGCTTCTCTTGTTGCAGAGCACTGGTTCTAGGTCACACGTGCTTCAGTAGTTGCGGTACATGGGTTCAGTAGTTGTGGCTCACAGGCTATAGGGCACAGGCTAAATAATTGTGGCCCACAGGCTTAGTTGCCCTGTGGCATGTGGGTCCTTCCCAGGTCAAGGGTCAAACCTGTGTCTCCTGCATTGGCAGGTGGATTCTTTACCACTGAGCCACCTAGGAAGCCCATGGTATAGTGTTTATTTCTATACTTCCCACAGTTGACACCTGGCCTCCCTCTCAGTGAGTCTTCAGCAAATATTTATTAGATCCCTTTACCCGAATCCACATAGCAAGTCATGAAACAGGGATTCAAACCCCATCTGTTCAGGACAATAGCCCCAGTTCCTTCCACACCATACTCACACCACTCTAGCCTCCCTGAGTTCTATTCCTCCGGGTTCTTAATTAATTCAGTGAATTCTAGGAATATGCAATTTATGACCCAACCATACATGACAATGGGGAAAAGTAAGTTTTTTTTTTTAAATTTTGTATTCAGCTTTGAAAAACATTAAGTCATCTGTTATTTGAAAAAGAAAGAATAGAGAAAACACACCTAATTTTACGTATGATTAAATGGCTTGAGGATGTTACACAAGCCAATCAAAGCACAGAAACCCAGAGTTCACCCTGCAAGAGCATCCTGAAATTGTGTCTCTACTTCCACTCTGGATTTTTGAATGAGAATGAGCTTCCCAGGTGTTATTTTCCAAAGATGACATGACTTAATATCTGTAGGTCTGGATTGCTCTGAAATGGAAAGATAGTATCTTATCATACTTTAGTCCAAGCAGCTTCATGCAGAGCTTCCAAACCTTTTTGACCCAACCTACAATAAAAGATGCATTTTACTGCAACCCAGTAAGTACATAAGGAGGGGTGTGTGTATATGTGTATTTGTAATATTGTATAATGAAATAAGAATGTGATGGAATAACACACATCATGTGTGATGCATTTTGATGTTTTCTAGGCCATTTCTATTTTCTGTGCTATACTAGTTCTTGTTTTAAGAATTGTAGTTGCAATCCACCAAGTTAATTTTACTATCCATTGAGTCTTGCAGTTTGAAAATTACTGGTCTAATGCAAATATAGAAGTGATGATGAGCAACAGAGAGGCCTGGTGTGCTGCAGTTCATGGGGTTGCAAAGAGTCAAACACGACTGGGCAACTAAACTACAAGCAACACTCCTTGAATACAGGAATATGTGTGTGTTCAGTCGCTAAATTGTATCTGACTGTTAATCCATGGACTGCCAGACAGGCTCCTGTGTTCACAGGATTTTCCAGGCAAGTGTACTGGATTAGGTTGCCATTTCCTCCTCCAGAGAATCTTCCCAACCCATGGATCAAATCCAAGTCTACTGTGTCTCCTGCATTGTCAGGCAGATTTTCTACCACTGAGCCATCTGGGAAGCCCTGAATCCAGGGATACATATCTTATTTACCTGAATCTTTAGCACCTATCACTTCCTTTTATTTATTTATTTTTCTGGATAAATAAGGGAGTGAATACCTATCATAGGCAACCAAAGCAGGAGCTAAGTATGCAACCAAGAGCAAAACTAAGAGCTAAATCTGAGGGAATCCTTGCCCTGATGGAGGTTACAGCCTACTGAGGGAGACAGACTTTCAACCAATACGAAACTAAATAAAAAACTATTTTTGAATTACAAAATTGTTATAAGAATGTCAGCAGATATATGTAACAATGTGTGGGGCTAGGGGTGGCATCTCTCAGAGTGACGTATAAGCTGAGACCTAACATCCAATAGAAGTTAACCACATGGGATGCAGCTAGAGATTATCATACTAAGTGAAGCAAGTCAGAAAGAGAAAGCAAATACCATATGATATCACTTATATGTGTCGTCTAACAAATGAACCTATCCACAAAACGGACTCATAGACATAGAGAACAGACTTGAGGTTGCCAAGGGTGGGGGCAGGGGAGCAATGGCCTTCCAGTTTGGAGTTGGTAGATGCAAACTATCACATTTAGAATAGATAAACAACAAGGTCCTGGGACTTCCCTGGTATTTCAAGGGTTGAGACTCCCTGCTTCCACTGCAGGATCAGGAGTTTGAACCCTGGTTGGGGAAGTTCCACATACCTTTTAGTGCAGAAAACAAAACAAACAAACAAAAAAACAAGATCCTAATGTGTAGCACAGGGAACTATATTCAATACCCTGTGATAGACAATTATGAAAAATAATATTTAAAAAAGAATGTCTATATGTGTATAATTGAGTCCCTTTGCTATACAGCAGAGATTGGCACAGCATTGTAAATCAACTATACTTCAAAAAAAAAAAAAAAAAAGAAATTGGCCACATAGGATGTGAGTGGCAAAGAAGTGGGGAGAGCATTCAAGGCAGAGGAAACAGCACCCATATCAGTAAACAGAGGCAACAAGGAGGNTAAAAAAAAAAAAAAGAAATTGGCCACATAGGATGTGAGTGGCAAAGAAGTGGGGAGAGCATTCAAGGCAGAGGAAACAGCACCCATATCAGTAAACAGAGGCAACAAGGAGGTAGGTACACGAGAAATCTCTGCTCACACAGAGTCTGCAGAAAGAAGCCTGGACCTCTATTGGATCTGTCCCCACTTTTTCTTTAGAAGCCCTGACCTCTTACTCTACAAGGACCTGGTGGGACTACTTTGGAGGAGCTTTGCTCTTATCTCACAGGCATGAGTTGGGGCCCAGCCAATCAGAGCTCTGCACCTACCTGACCACAATGATGAATGTGATTCATTCAGGGAAAAGCAGGTGACTTTAACTGGACCAAAGTCACCTTTATAATTTGTATGTGGAAAGGGTCTTTTTTCCTCTGAAACTCTGGATATAAGTAAAGCCAGAGCTCTCTTCCATTGTGTGAAGGAGTAGGTTAGAAAATGAAACCAAATGCAGAGGAAAAGAGTGCTAAGAGCAGGAGGAATAGAAGAAAGAACGTCAATTGAAACTCTGGGTCCAGGACTTCCCTGGTAGTGCAGTGGTTAAGACACCGCACTTCTGTTAGGTAGTTAGAATAGGGAAAAGGAGTCCAAAATGGCGTTGGCTAAAAGACCTGGAAGGGAAAAGCCCTCGAAAATAGAACAAAGGAAGGTCCGAGGACTGGAGTGAGAACCTCAGGTAAAACAAACAACACTCCTGGCTGGCCCAATTTACATAAGACAGGCCCAGGGACGGAGAAACATATAAACAGAGGAGCCAAAGCCCTCTTCGCTCGCTCGCTCTCCCCCACACGATGGGCGCTCTTCTCTTCCCGTCTTTGGATTGAAGTGCCCTCACACCTCGAAGATGGATTTTCCTGCTATCATCTAAATAAAATAAAGCTGTAACACTGAGCTGTAACACTGATTTATTTAAGAGCTATAACACTGGTCTGTCCAAGACCCAAGAGCTGTGACCCACCGAGGGGGCTTCAATGTCCATCACTCCAAATTTTTGTTGTGACGAGACAAAGAACCGAGGAGCATACACTCACTTGACACTTCCATGGCAGGGAGCATGGGTTCAATCCCTGGTCTAGGAACAAAGATCCTACATACCGTGAGGCCAACAAGAGTGAAAAGAACAGAAACAGAAATAACAACAAAATCCCTGTGGGTCCAGATTGCCTCAAGCCAGAACCAGCAATACTTCATAATTGTTTGAGCTAATAGTTCCATTCTTCCCTATTAACTGGTTTTATTTGCAACTGACTATTTGCAACTGACTGCAAGTGTGAAAGGAAGGGTAGAAAGCCAATTAATTTCTTTTTTAAAGAAGAAATATGTTTATGGGGTCACATACACACTTCTTCCATGAATGGGAAATTTGCCTGGAATACGCCAGGTTTCAAGATTTCCAGATTTATGAGATTGTCATTTTCTCCCTTCTTTCCTTCCTTCCTTCCTTCTTTCTCTCTCATTATTTTATCAGCTGAGTGGAGAAATGTTAGGGGAGTTTTTAGAGAAAGCTGGGAAGCTACAATATATTCCCAGCTAGAAAAAAATATCTAGATAATGTGGCTTAAATGAAGGTGTCCTGCCAACAATAGAGATCAAGAGAAGCAAATTTAAGAACAATTTTGGTTGAGTTGCTAGGACTTGGTCATGGATTAGATACAAGGGACTGAACTGTCTAGATGAATGGATAAAATGGCTAATTAACCAATGCTAAGTTAAACAGTCACAGAGTAGCTGGAATGTCTTAGACCCTGTAGGAGGAGCTAGGATAGCAGAGATGAAAGCAGTCCTTGCCTTCAAGGATTTTACAGAAGAGGAGCCCTTAACATTCAGAAGAGAAACAAAAAATGAACAATAACAACAAACCAAACCAGGAGTAGTGAAGGGCTCACCTAGAGTTGAGAGAATGAGCTTTGTAGTCCCAGATGTGGGGGCCTTAGCCTTGCCTTTGGAAGACAGTACTTGTGTTGATGTGTAACCTGGTCCGCAGATTCCTCAGGCTGTTGTAGGGGTCAGCAGAAGGACTTGGAATGGCATTGAGAGGACAGTGTTTGAGGGGAAAGAAAAAAGAGGGGGGCAAAACTGTGTGCAGGGTGGAATTGCTGAGTTTCCAGCTGCGTAAGATTTGGAGAAACAAGGGGTATGAGAGTAGCTGCTTTATGATGATTGAATGGGAACATCTAAGGACAGTATCAGGCCGGTTATCTCAGAGGCCATGTGATTAAATGCTTGGATTGCATGCTTTATTGAACCAAGGAAAAATACATATGGAAAAGCAAGGGGAAAGAGTTAGAGTCGGTTGTCACATTTAAGATAGGAAGCAAAGAGGTAGAAACATGGGAGAATTTGAATCTTGGGGGAACACAGGGCTTGTATATTGTCCCTTGGTTGCATTAGCCGTCCCTGCTAATGGTGAGTTACAGACCAGAGTTTTGAGGTTTGAGCAAAGTTATGCCTATGGATGGAAATTTCCTCATCAATAAACAAACTCAAAGAAATGCCCACAGCAATATACTTAGCCACGGATGTTGCTCACCAATTAGTCAGCTGAGCAGTTATGAGTTTTGTTTATATATTTTTGAGAGGATGGAGCCACAGTGGTTGCTATCTTCTTCATTAAGATTTCATGCATGAATATTTAGTGCCTTATATATTTAGGGTATCATGAATACTTAGAATTCCAGTACCTCACGTATATTTAGTACCTCAGAAATATTAGGTGGGCTTTCCAGGTGGCGCTAGTGGTAAAGAATCCCCCTGCCAATGCAGGAGACATAAAAGATGCAGGTTCGATCCCTGGATCAAGAAAATCCCCTGGAGGAGGACATGGCAACCTACTCCAGTATTCTTGCCTGGAGAATCCCATGGTCAGAGGAGCCTGGCAGGCTACAGTCCATGGGGGTTGCAAAGAGTCAGACACGACTGAAACAACTTGGCACACATTCACAGAATACTAAGTATCTCTTGGTCCCTCCATCTTTCCTCTCTGTGTTTAAACTCACACATCTTGTACTTACTACCTTTTTTAAAAAATTGGTATAGGCTTGTCACGTGTTTGTTTTCTTTTTGGGTCATGCCACTCAGCATGTGGGATCTTTGTTCCCCACTAGGTATCAAACCAGTATCCCCTGCATTGGAAGAACAGAGTCTTAACTACTGGACTACCAGCGAAGACCCTGTACTTACTATCTTTTCTTCACAAATCTATATAGGGTTTTGTCTTCCTCTTACAAAACTATAAACTTTCTCTTTTTCTAAAATAGACTCAAATAGTCTAGAAACAAATGCACAATGCAGTAAGACTTCCAGGTCTTCAAGCTGGAGGAGCTTCCAGTTGAAAACTACTCCGGCCAAGAGGGCCTGAAGCCCTGGCAAAGGCTCTTCAGATACCAAAGAGGAAGGGGACCTTCTTCTTCAGGAGTCAAGAGCTGAAAGCAGGAAGGGAAGAGGGGCAGCCAGAGCCTTTCAAGAGGTGCTTGGGGGACAGTAGCCAGAGGTGTGATAGGGAAGCAACTGGAATAAACAGAGCAGCCTAGCATCCAACCGAGACAGGTAGGGTGGTTGACACCCAAAGTTGTAGCAAGTGGCTTTTCCCTAGGACTCCAAGAATGGGGAATTAAGGGAAGACGTGAGAGGAAGCCGGGCTAGGTCCAGCCCAGCCCTGCCCAGCCCTCAGTCATATGAATAAAGACCAGCTCATACCAGGACTCCCCAGGTTTCTTACAAATCTGTAACTTCCTTAAAGTTGGTTATTTTTGTTATTCCTTGTTTCCCTGCAGCTCAACTAGTAAACTGAATAAGCTTTAAGCAAAGAAAGGAGGAAGTGCAACGGGGGGTTGGCTACTTACTTAAAAACCGGTCTGGGGAGCTGAGAACATCCCCAAATGGGGTAGGTGGGGGTTGGGTGGCTGTGAATGGACAGCACCCAGGGGGTCTGTGAGGAGAGAGGAAAAGGGGTCCATTGCAGTGGAGGTGTGAATGCTGGCTGGGGTGAGGGGTGGGTGTAAGAGCTCAGTTAACCCCTCAGGCTACACTTGGGCTTTCTAAAACCGCTTTGCTTTGTAGTCAGAGGTGTAGGAACTGACTGCTGTGGAAAGGGGGAAGTGTGGGAAGCAGTTCTGCCCCCTCCCTCCCTGCTCCTACCGTTCACTGGGCTGCCTCTTCCATCACTGTACCCTCATTGTCTGCTCTCTGTAGGTCTCCCCCGCCAGACCATGAACGTCCCAGGAGCAAGCACTGTGTCCGATTCACCTCTTTCTGCCTCACAATGTGGCCCAGCATGGGGCCTGACACTTGGAAGTTTCTCAAAGAGTTACTTGTTGAATGAATGAACAAATGAATGCTTTCTCCAAACTACACTGAACTCGGGATGGGATTTACAAAGAAGGAAAGGCCTGATTACCCACTTATCCTGTGCCTCCAGGATTCAAGAAGGCAATGAGCCCCTAAGGTTTGGTTTCCGTGTTTATATGTATTTTCCTAAGGATAGGATTCTGAATCATTCATCAGATTTTCAAAAGGGTGTGTGTCCCCCAGAAGGATAATCACTTAAGAACATAGTCCAAGATGGATGTTTTATATAAATTGTCTTCCAATTCATTTTCCTGAACTGAATTACTTTTTCTTCCCAATACTACTGCTTTCTTCCTATATATAATCTCTTGGGGTGTGTTACTTTGTAATGTCAGAATCTCCCATTCATCTGAGGAAATGGTAAGGAGATGCCAATGAGGTTCAAGACATGCTACCCCAAAATATGACACCTTGGCATATTAAATACCTTAATCGGAAGGAATTTTAAAAAGCAGCAGAGGGACTTCTCTGACCGTCCAGTGGTTAAGACTCTGTGTTTCCACTGCAGGGGGCTCAGGTTTGATCCCTGGTTAGAGAACTAAGAGCCCTCATACTTCTTGGTGCAGCCAAAAGTTAAAAAATAAAATAATGATTTTAAAAGACAATAAAATTTTTAAAAAAATAATACTAAAAAGTGGCTAAAGCAGGATGGTCATTCTGACCTCCCTACCCTTCTTCCCTGAAACAGGTCATAAAATTCCCTTGTGAAAGTACCCTCCCTAAACCAGGAGGAAGGAGAACTTTCTTGTTGCCAGGAACAGTGAATTTGGGGCAGAGGCTGTGTAAACAAACTGTGTTAAGCTAACCCTTATCTTCCGAGTTACTTCTTGGCCATTTACTACTCCTAGCCCAAACCCTCTGTCTTGTCAATTCTTCACACATTCATTATTTGCCTAAGAGATGGAAAAGCTTCCTGCTCTGATCACGTCTTCATTCACTTGTGAAGAACTAAATAAAAATGTATTAAAAGTTGTATGCAGTTTTCCTGTTAACCTGTCTTTGCCAGTTTCATTTTCATACCCAGCCAGGAGTCCTAAGAGGGCAACTTTTTCCTCCTCTCCCCTGCCTTAGCCAAAGCCCCCTTGTTCATTTTTCCCACACTCCCAGCTCCTTTGTTCCACATTTTGCAGGTGGGAAGATAGTGTGGAGGGGGTGTGGGGCTTGCTGGAAGTGAGACCTCAAGGGCAGAGGCAGAACCCGGAAGAGAGCTGTGGAGTCACCCTGCTACCTAATCCAGCTCTCCGCGCCTGCATAACAATGGAAGGAAAGAGGAAGTGGGAAAGAATCAGGTCATCTAATTGAATTAGAAGGGGAATTACCAAGACCCTGGAGCAGAGGTGAAGCAGCTCCCAGAAAGAAGGGCTGAAGACGGCACACAAAGACAAGGAGCAGGAAATTAGTAACAGATATTCACTTGTGTCCAGAAGCAAAAAAGTCAAAAGCCCAGAGCTGAACTGCTCAGGCACTGAGGGAAGCTGAGATTGGCAGGCAGGTCTGGGCCGGGGCAGGATCCCCAGAGGAAGAGAGAAAGCTCCAAGCCCCGCCAGGATTTCTTGGCGGCTGCCTTGGCCTAATACTGAGTATCGGTGCCTCAAGGGAAGGATGAGTCAGTGCCAACAGATCCAACTTTAGGGTAAAAGCCACTGGAAGGCACTGGGCAAACACATTTCCTATGAGAGGGCTCTCTCACCACCCAAACCCTGGCCCTATGCAGGAAACTAGGGGGTCCCTGGCCCCTGCAGAAGAGCTCCTTCTCTGAGAGAATGAAAGTGAAGTGCCCAGGTACTCTACCTTCTTTCCTCTACAGGAGGTTTCTGCCAGACATGCTGCCCATTGGTTTCATAAAGCTATCTAAAGTCAAGGTTGGCATAGCACAGAGGGCAAAGGGGTGAGTCCCAGCTGATGGCTGTGACTGTCACACCTTGCTGCAGGAGGCAAGGAAACCTGGAAACTAAAGAATATTCTCGGTCTCGGGCGTGGCCATAAGTATGCGGAGTGCTTGGGTGCCTCACAGGGGAGACTGAGGCATGGTGTGGGGATCTGGCCAACTGGCATGTAGTTCCTTTGAAGAAGGTAAGTTCCACCACCCCATCATGGCATTCAGGATTGTTGAAAGGATGGCAGGACCGGTTTCATCACTCAGCCTGCGAGCTCAGCACTCAGCCTGTGAGAGCGGTTCACAGAGGCTAAGGAACCGATGATTATATTGCATGTAAGGGAAAGATTGCCATCTTTGGAGGAAGTTTGAGATGGGTGACTTTGCTTATATGGTTTTGTGGGTATTTTCTTTTTTTTTTTTTAGGAGCTTCCCTGGTAACTCAGCTGGTAAAGAATCCACCTGCAATACAGGAGACCCGGTTTGACTCTTGGGTTGGGAAGATCCGCGGGAGAAGGAATAGGCTACCCACTCCAGTATTCTTGGGCTTCCCTGGTAGTTCAGCTGGTAAGGAATCCGCCTGCAAATGTGGGAGACCTGGGTTCAATCCCTGGGTTGTGAAACCATTTACCACAGATTGGGACTTGAACCTATGTGCTGGGACTCGAACCTAGCCAAAACCCTGCTTGGGACTTGAACCCATGTGGCTGGGACTCAAACCCAGTCAAAACCCTTAGTATCTGGTTTCAGGACCTAATGAAGCTCAGGTTCTTGATGTTTCATTGCAGAAAGAATTCAGTGAGAGATAAAGTGATAGGTAAATGGATTTATTCAGAATCAGCGAGAAGCACACTCCACAGAGTCCGGGCTGTTGCAGAGGGCGAGTGCGACCCCAAAATTTGGTGTGGTTAGTTTTTACAGGCTGGGTAATTTCATATGCTAATCAGTGGGAGGATTATTCCAACTATTTTGGGGAAGGGGCAGAGATTTCCAGGATTTGGGCCACTGCCCACTCCTTGGTCTTTTAGCAGTGCCTTGAAACTGTCATGGCACCTCATTGCTGATTGAGGATCAAGGTCTAGTCTTGTCTGCCATCTTAGTACCACTTGATTCTAATCAGTTTATGTTGTGTCCTTGGGCTATGTCATTCTTTCAAAAGTTGTGCCTTGCCCCTTTCCCTCCTGTTACAGTTGGGATGATCCCCTGGAGAAGGGGTAGGCTACCCACTCCAGTATTCTTGGAGTAGCGAAGTAGGCTTCCCTACTGGCTCACCTGGTAAAGAATCTGCCTGCTGTGCAGGAGACCTGGGTTTGATCCCTGGGTTGGGGAGATCCCCTGGAGAAGGGAAAGACTACCCACTCCAACATTCTGGTTTGGAGAATTCCATGGGGTTACAAACAGTTGGACACAACTGAGTGACTTTCACTTCACTTTTTAAAATTTTGCTATTTTGTGGGGTTTTCTGACTGAACCCTGGGTCTTGTGGGATCTTAGTTCACTGACCAGGGATTGAACCAGTACCCCCTGCAGTGGGATCATGGAATCCTAATCACTGGACCACCAGGGAACTCCTCTAAATGTGCCATTTTAACTAACCATTTTTTAATTATACAGTAATTAATTACATTCACAATGCTGTACAACTATCACTACTAACTAATTCCAAAACCCTTTTTTTAAGTTGGCTGTGTCTGGTGGTAGTTGCCGCATGAGAGATATTTCACTGTGGCACACAGACTCTTCAGTTGTGAACTCTCTAGTTGTGGTGTGCAGGCTCCAAAATTCAAGGGTTCAGTAGTTGCAGCCAAGGACTTTGCAACAGGGCATGTGGGATCTTACATCCATGTCCCCTGCAACGCAAGGTAGATACTTAACCACTGGACCACCAAAAGTCCCTCCAAAACTTTTCCACCACTCTAAACAGAACCTTTGTACTCCTCTGTGTGCTTGTTTCTGTGGCTGTTTTTTTCTCTAGAATATGGTGACCCCTGTACTGGCAGAGTCTTGCCTGATCAGTCACACCTAGTCAAGTTCTCCTCACCTGAGTTTCTTTCATCACAGGATTGCCATGAGTTCTTTCTGTGTAAACAGTACTGATACTTTTGCCCTACATATGCATACCTATTTCAACAAAGCAGGTATTCGATCACACTACCTCAAAACTTAGTGCTTAATACTACAACCCTTTCACTGGCTCACAATACTGTGAGTCATCAGTTTGAGCAGAGTTCAACTGGGCATTTCTTCTGGTATTATCAACTAGGATCATTCATGCCACTGCAGTCTTCTGGTGGCCCAACTGGAGCTGGATACTATATGCTATATGACCTTATTTTATGAATAAGACATTCAGTGTCTGGCACTGGCTATGGGCTGGGTAGTTTATTTCCAGCATGCTACCTAGGTAGCAGGGTTCCAGAAGCAACAAGAGAGAGAGGTCAAGACCCAGCATACAAATAGTTTTTAAGCAGCCGTTGGATCATCTTTGCTGATGTCCCATCATCCAAAACAAGTCATATGGGAAAACCCAGAGTCAGTGTGAGAGGGGATTTAATGAAAATCCAGAGAGAGACAGACATGGCTCATTGGGATCATTACTGTAACAATCTACCACACCTACATAATATTATGCATTTTCATTTCCTCCTTAACAGTGTATCTATTTTCAAGAGTAACAGATGTGGAAAACAAACTTATGGTTACCAGGGTATAAGGAGGCAGGGATAAATTGGAAGGTTGGGATTGACATATATACATTACTATATATAAAATAGACAACTAATAAGGACCTACTGTATAGTACAGGGGACTCTACTCAATACTCAATAAAGGCCTATATGGGAAAACAATCTAAAAAAGCGTAGATATATGTATAACAGATTCTTTTTGCTGTACACCTGAAACTAACACAACATAGTAAATCAACTATACTCCAGTAAAAAACTTTTAAAAAGAAAAAAAAATTTATCTATTTTCCAAGTTTTACAATTCTTTTTTTTTTTTTTTTTAGTGCTGTGAGTCAAGTTTTATTTGGGGCAAAACGAGGACTATAGCCTGGGAGACAGTGTTTCAGACAGCTCTGAGGAACTGCTCTGAAGAGGTTGAGAGGATAGGAAGGATATAGTTTTTATAATTATATTTGTAATAACTGTAAAATAACCAATCAAAGGACAGCCAAAATGTACTTAATCATTATTACTCTAGTTTTTGCATTTGTTTTAATTTTCACTATTATAAATAATTTATTAGCTAAATGGATATATATGAGTACCTACTATGTGTAAGGAATTATTCAAGGGCATTAAGGACACCATTTGCTTTGACTCTTTGTGAGCAGTGGGGAGGAAACACAAACACATGAATATATAATATGCAATATGGAGAAAAGTAAGAAAAGAGATTAAAGCCTACAGGATGGGGAGAAGGGGCGGGGTTTGCTATTTTTAAATCTTTTAAAAAATGTTTTGGGATTATATTCTAAGAATAAAGGATAATTTCTTTTGTATCACCTCCTTGTTGTGAGAAGTGAGATCACAAGACATAGGGAGGGAATATTGCTAAGGCTTTCTTTTTTTTTTTTTTAAGGCTTTCAAGATGGATGGCCCAGTACTCATCC